ATGAAATAAAGTTTTTCTCTTGCTGCCAATACTGGTGGGAAGTTAGCATTTGGTTTGGGGATGCAAACGGGATAATGAGGAATATTTGTAATTCTAAGTCTCTAATCAACTAGAAGCTAGCCTGATTTCACTCTAAAGTTCAGTTCTAGTCAGTCTTCACTCATTTGAGCCAGTCTAGAGTCAGTTGAATTAGTTTTGAATCATTCGAGTTGATCTTAAAGTAATCTAAAATTAAGTCTTTAATCAACTAAGTCAATCATGTCAGTTCTGACAGTTTCTACCTTTAAATTTTGTAAAGCGTGGAAACGTGACTCACTATCCCCAAACTCCCTATTAATCTTACAAAAATCTTCAAAGCCCATCATCAAAACCGACCCTAAGGCAATTCTGTCAATCCAATTTTACAAAAGTTTCACTCATCTACCGAGTCATCTCTTACCAATTATAATGAGCTTCCGAAAACAGATAGAAAGCAAGCACATTTGTTGAAATGAAATTCATTTTCACGCGTAGAATATTAATTCAATGTCTCTCTGTGTAGCTGTAACCAAAGCATCTGATAGATAAAATGCCTTCAATTTCTCTTTTTGAAATGTAACTTGATGTAAGGTATTTATTATAGCTTTATGTTTTCCTCCATCCTCCTTTATGATGATGCCACAGAGACAGAAATAAGGAAAAGCAGGAATGAGAAGATATCGCAATGCGGTTGTTTTTCCATATAATACAATCTCGCTATGTTATGGATTAAGATAGCAAATAGAACTTTTCATGCAACTTTTTTTTAGACATTTTGTTGTTATCCTTTCCACCCCACTAACGTGTGCTTGTTTCTTTGTGATAAAGTTTCGAATATTTTCCACTTTTATGTGCTGCGTTTTGCGGTTAAAATTTGTTTTGATGCTACATAATCTCTGATATGGAAAATATAACTAGTGAATGTGAATCTGACATTTAAAACAGCGATATGCTTTAAGGGCAATTGGTTTACACCTCAAATTTATTGTTAGAATATTGTGTTGAGGTAATGAAAAACTAACAAATATTGACGGGGAAGTGTTTAAATTCTTGTTGGATGGAGATTTTTAATTTTATGTGGAATTTTGGATGTGTTGAGCATATTGAAAGTTTTTTGACATGTTTGTGAATATTTGTGTAATAAAGTTTTGTTCGTTTGAAGGTCTGAGTTGCATTGACTATCAATTGCTGAGGGATCACTTTTATGTTCCTTTATTAGCACTATGTAGTAGACTTAACATTATTACATGGAACATTGATAGAGTGATTCCTATTGTGCATGGAAAACATTTTATTTCAAACTCTAGTTCCAAGTCATATGATGCCTTAAATTCAAAGTTCCAACCTAAGCCTCTCAAACCATAACAGCTTTACCTTATTTTCATCCCAAAAATCATCCTTCCATTCTTCAAAACTTATCCCGAATGGCATAAGTCGGTTAATTCAATCAGAAATCCGGTAACAATCCAGTGTGACGCTGGCATGGTGCTGGATTTAAATCAAAGCCAGCATCATGCCAGAGTCATGCCAACTTGGTACCGGATTTCTATTCGATTAACCGACTTGTGCTGTTCGGGTATTCATCAGCACCATTTTGCAAAAACTAAATTTTCTTCGCGAATTTCTCGCAGAGTTTCCATCAATTCCTCATTAAAAAAAATTCAAATTCCAAAAAAAGAAAATATTTCGATCTCATTCCACGTTCTTACTAATAACCTTAACACATCGTACGTGTATATTGCCAATTTTTTCCATTCACATCCTCAAACTTTGAATAACAAATACGGCCTCTAAATTGCATAAGCAGCAGCTGAGTGTAAGCATGAAAGTTGTAATTTTATCATCAATGGTACACAACAATGCCAATATAATGGAAACAACACAATAATAAGATAGAACAGGATGGAAAAAAGTAGAAATATATTGAACAATATGACTGAAATGTGTTTGATTTTCATTCGATTCTCCTTTTTTTTCGTTTGTCTTGAAGACTGTAGAGAAATTAGGAAAGTTTTTGGCTGAGGATTGTTATGGATAAAACGCTTGGGATGCAAGTTTTAGTACTTAAAAGCATAACTTTTTAAATTTTTCACTAAAAGCTTTAGTTTGTGCTAAGTTTGTGACCAATTTCTAGGTCAATGTAGCTTAAAGAACCAGCTCCAGGTTTTGGTTGAGATGTTGCAATTGCTTAGTTTCGGGATTTAACAAGGTCAGCGTTGTCTAAAGTCCTCCCTTAATTAAATCTTAGAGGAAACATTTTAAAATAGTAAATAATCATCTTTTGAGTTGAATTTAAGTACGTTCCTTTTCATTATTCTTCCATAAAACTATTCACAGACCAATGTAGTCAAACATTTCCAAATTCCTAATCTCAATCAGCCAAACATCCAACCCAAATCCATTCCATAATCCCCAAAAAAATCTGCTAAAGAAAAAAGTATTCACATGCTGAATAAAGAAACAGACAAGCAAACAGCACATAAAAATTATTTCCGAAACAATGGCATAAAAGTAAAAGAGAAGGAAGCTAGTAAGCAAGCAAGCAAGGAACAAACTAAAAACAAGAAGAAGGAACAACAAAAAAAATTCAAACCACGTATTTCGTTAAACGTGAAATGAGAATAAGAAGAAAAGAATCAGCGGTATATAGGAGGGAAGGGCAGGAAAAAAGTAGAAAGTTCATGCACTATGTTAGGGATGAATGTTATAGGATGAGGGAATTGGATGAATAAAATGTAGATGTGTATTAGAGGGTGGCAGGATAAAGATTCATCGTACACAAAAAGGATAGAAAAAATAAGTTGTGAATCATGCCTTAGAATGTGTATTTTGAGCCAAAAAATTGACAGAATTATCATTTCAATGTGGGACCATCTTATACTTATTATTATTGTCTTGCCTTACTCAGCTTTAGTGTGTGTATTATAGATCGATGTCTTTTCGTAAGAATAATGGATGTACATCCTCAAAAACCTATTTTCCAATTACGTGATATTATTATCCCGTTGGCAAAGTACTTCCTCTTCTTCTGTGAGTTTCTGCCTAGTCAAATCGTCTTAGTGAAATCACTTGAATAATTTATTCCTTCACAAGGTGCTGAAAAGTGAATTTTCTTTGTTTAATTATGCGGTGACATTTCAATTTACTAACATCAAAACTTTATTTAAGAGGGTGAAGACATTTCGCGCGACATGAAATCCTTTAAGCGAAAACACAAAATTAATTATTTTTCAATTCTTAAGCTCCAATGAAGTCATTAAAATTTTAATTTTCCTTCTTCTTTTTTTTCGTCGACGACATAATCCGATTATCATTGCATTTGACAGTAATTCTTGTGTCTTTAGACTGAAAGACTTTATTTTGTACTTATTCTTTTGAATTGAATTTTCTGTCAGGCATATCATTTTTCATGTGAGATATGAAATGAATCGATCCCTCACATGAGGTTTTTTTTTTGATGATTTTGATCATTATATTTTTTTGTTTTGGAAAATGACAATGATAAGTTTGTAGTTTATACTGACTGTTGTAAGTATTCAAAGACTTATTTGAAAAAAAAATTCAACAGTTACTTTTTAACCCAACATTGACAAAAAATTGATCTTAAAAAGAATTTTTAAATAAAATTTATAACAGAATATGAACTTAACTTGCCACACACTTATAGGATTCGAACCTAGTATTACATTCAATACAAAATAATAAAGAGAATTTCCAAATACTTTACCAGAGCATTTCTAACGACATTTCGATTTTTGCAAACATCAAATTTAAATACAACAAAAGCTAATATTTCATTGCAACCACAAAAACATTTTAAATGCATAAAAACTCCTGTCAAAACTAATTACGATTATCTTCAGCATTATTCCCCACAGATTTGTTATAAATTGACGACATTCATTTCTCGTAGTCACATAATGAATTACATAGACACAGTGATTATTGATCCTATTTGATAAATTGTACGATTTATTGATGTCTGACTCACCACTAGAGGGGGACGAGTAGCAGCTAATCGCATTTTCACTCTCTTGGTCTTGCATTTGAGAAGGTTATTTAGAGATGAAATGACTGAAATTTAAAGAGCTGTGGGGGACGGGTTCTTATTTGACACTATTTAAAACTATTATTATTGAAATATTAAATACAAAGTAGAAATGGAAAAGACATCATTTATCAACAACCCTACAAAATTTATCCAACCAAAACTACTAATGCAATTCGATTTAATGGAAATAATTTTTTTGTACCTTAAAAATATCACATTACATAAAATATTTTAATGGTCATTGCATTTAATGCTATAGCAATTAATTTGATATTTGTAAATGTAAAATTTATGGCATGGGGTTTAAGTGTACAAAAAACAACAGTAGTAATAATTATTGAGGTTTAACCACCTGCTTTACATTGCATTTAAAATATAATGCTTATTAAGTTGAGAGGAAAGGAAATTTATGAGTGGTAATAATTAAACTTTATTTTTCGTGTAGGATAAGTTAATTCCTGTAATAGAGAATATAATCAAGTATAAAAGTGTAATTTTTACGATAATAAGCTACAGTGCTAAAGATTTTGTAAATAAAACTAGATAAAACTATGAAGTTATTGCCATCTTGACTAAAACCTTAGTCATTTTGGTTGAAAAGGTGAAAATTGTGTCATTCTCGTTAATTTTTTGACATCAAAGTTAATAAAAGTGAATCTTGGAAAAGTCAAAATTTAAAAGTGAAATTAAAACAATCATCTCAATGAGCCAGGAAAAATAAAATCTCATTATTAAATAAGAAATCGTTCCTAATCAAAAATGTGCAATTAAAAATTGAATTCTTACGTGAATTTAACCAATCATGAATTAAAAAAGAAGCTGAAAATTTGCCAAATCAAAAACAAATCAACTTAAAATAAAAATATAAAGCTACACCAAAAAAAAACCAGACATTCCAGACGATCACAACATTAAGAATCACATAAAAAAAATTATTCCTTCAAAAAAGGATGCAAAACAATAAAATTTAATCAGATGATTGCCGCGAGTGGAAAGAACTCAAAATCAGTAGCACAAAAAATAACACAAACCGATTGGGATTTAAGCAGTTCCATTACCGGTACAGTAAAAAGACGTCCAACATCACTCGAATCATGTAAATCAAATTCCCCCAACGACATCAAAGACAATATTGATTTCCCATCAGAGCACAATGGAAATGCAAAAGACATCGTTAGTCGTTCATGTAAAATTAATAAGCTAGATGATGATTCATATGAGAATGATGATTTGTGTAAGGAAATTGAGAAAGGAAATAAGACGAAACGAAAGGAGGAAAAAATCGATAATTCTTCAATAAAAAGGAGGATCTTGAAATTGCCGGAATCAGCAAGAAAATCATTCTCGTCGAAACTCAAACTGCCCCATTCATTAACTCTCTCGTCTCGTAATAAATTATCGCTATCGCAATTAGAACAGAAAAACAATTTATTCATTCGTGATGGGCAGCAGCAGCAGCATCAACAAAAACAAGAGAAAGGTCCTGAAAGTGGAAAGATAAACAAAGCAGTTGAGGGAGAAATGGCAAAAAATACAAATTTAATCTCGTCGGGAAGGAGCAGCAACAAAAACAATTCAATCGCTGTTGTCATGGATCATCAAAATGCCGAGGGAAATAATTCATCAAAAATGAGCAAAAAATCCTTAATTCCATCATTCTTAAGTACAAAAACACACAGCAATACTAATCACATAAAAATTCCATCAACGTCAAAAGCTCATTCAAATATCATAGCTGAGAAGTTGACAAAAACTGGCAATAAATTCAAGGAATTGTGTGCACAGAAAGAGAATCAAAATCATACGAAAAAACCACCTCCATATCGTCCACCACCTCCCATTCCGACAAGCAATGAAAGTAATAGTAAAAAAATTCGATTATCGGAAATTGTGGATAGAAATTACGAGGAAATTGATGAAAATTGTGGCAATAATGATAACATATCAACAACAATCAATACCCAAGCGATTATTCATGCTGAATGTGGGGAAGAATCAAATGATACGGAAATCAATAGTACGCTCGCCAAAGCAGAATATCCATCGAATATGTTTAAGAATATTCCCGTCCGTCCAAGAAAAGGCCAGATATCTCATATGGAGAATTATTGCCTATTCGATCCGTCTGTCGATTTCTGCAATGAAAAGGATTTAATGAAAATGACAAAAGTTCCGATTGAGATAAAGTCTAAGACAGATTCACCTCGACATAAGCCTGCACTTAATGTTGATGTGAACGAGGAGAAAATTGAAGATGTAATATTTGAGGATCAGACTTTATATGACATTACAGAGCATGATGAAAGAAGTTCTGAAGACAAATCCTTAGCACATCACAATTACTATGAAATTGATCCAGAATTGCTTGAAAAAGAAGAAGAAATTAATGTAAAAAGTTTGGCTGAGGAACTCGAAGAATCAAAACGACTCGAACAAAATAGAAAATCGAAAATTTATAGTAATTCTTTATCATCATCGTCCGAGTCAACGACATCAACAAGCAATTCTGTTGGTAATTCAAGTTCAACCCACACAAGTAGCTCCGACTATCCATCACTGTTCAATTCAGTCATTGAAACTACACATTCATCAACAGTGGAGTCAACAGACGAAAATGATTCAAATGGTTATGGAAAAGTGAAATGTACAGCAACAGCAGACTCTAATGAAAGCATAATTACTGTTCAAAATGCTGTTGTCACATGTGGTGATTCTAATGCTACATTACAGGGTAGTACGGGTGCGACAAAGAAGAAATCTCCACAACTCAATCGAATTACTCGTCCAACATCTCGAAATTCATCAAATAATAATAATAACATTAGTGCCAAACAGCAGCAGCCAAGCACAAAAACAACTAAATCAATATCAACAAAAAAATCACAATTTGATCCATTAAAACAGAGCCACTCATTGCCACATTTGCAAAATGTCAGTGTACAGAATAAATGTCGACAGCAGGGCAATAATGGTAACAAAAATGAATTTAATTTCGTAATTGACAACACGACAACATCCATTCAAATGCGACGCTCACATAATTCACGACAAATTCGACCTTTATCGACGCATAGTGATGATAGGGACAGTGGATTTTTGAGTCCCGCCACACCTCCTGATTGCCAAAATGTACATAATAATGTTATTGTTCCACACGGTGGACAAATTGAGGAAGGTAGAACAAAAACCGAATCGACACTACTAAATCAATGTGATAATATTCAACAAATGATTGAAGTGAGTGGATTTTAATGTAGATAAAGATGTTTGAAGGTTAATTGGGGATGTAGGTGGATTATTGGGTGGGATTGGATGTCTTTTTAATTTTTGTTGATTTCATGTGATGTTTTTCTTTTAAATGCAATCAATAATCGCTTTTATGCAGCTCTTTAATCAAAAATTTCGTTCACTGAATCTATTTCTTTTTAAACTTTGAACTCTAGTAACCAAAATTCTTTGACTTCATGTCTTTATGAACTCTAAATCATTTATTCCATCAATTATTGACCCTTTTCTTTCCAATTTTCAATGACACTTTATTGATTCCTTTATAATCCTTGATAATATTCCAATACAAAACAATTTCAACATCCCAAAGACTCTATTTACAAGAGATTCCAGAAATATTTCTGAGAACACTTCATCCCCTATCCAAAATATTTCACATTCAGTCAAATAACTTTCACATTTATAATGCTAAATGATTCATCATATCATCACAACACTTTCTGGAGATAGGAACGTATGACACATACCCATAAATTGAATATGTTGAGCACTACCGAAATATGTTCTTTGTTGTGTCCATCCACGCCTTTTCTTGTTGTACAATTTGACTCCCTCCTTTTCTGTATTAAAAAAAATTCTATCGTTATTATTTTGGAATCGCCTGCTATGCTGAAATAAATAAGCATGAAACAGTAGCAGGCGAAAATAATATAAAATAAAATTAAATCCATAAATCATGTCATTAATAACCTCAAAAAAGATATGAAATGCAATTGTAGTTTTATTTTTGAACAAAGATTACATTTTATGTCGCATATGGAACATACAGTAAATCCCGTACATCCATCTTTTATAACTCCCACATCAAATTCGTGCATTCATAAAAATTTCATCCCCTGGATTTTGATGAATTTTTAGTGTTTTTGTAGGGAGAATAAAAATGTGTTTTTATTTGTTTACTTTTGATTTTGGCTGGCTGAATAGGAATTAAAATTGCTTAAAAATTGAGAATTTTTGAGGTTATTTTAAGCGCGGGTTTTGACAGTGGATTATTGCCAATTTATTGGTTCAATATTTGTATAAATTTTATTTATATTCACTCTGAAATGCTGAAAATATTGAAATTAATTTGCGAAGTGAGATAAAAGTTTCAAAAAACGTTAAATAAATTCTTTGAATTTTAAAAAACCGTTGAACTTTTGAAAGTTATAAAATGAAACAATTTAAAAGTTTTACATTTTTTCCATGCGTTTAATGCCTCAGCAAGCAAAAATTCCATTTCTTACGACCATCCCCACTAACATAGCCTCAACTGCAGTAAAGAGAAATTTTTCCTTGAGTTAGGGAAGTGTTTCGATTAAAATTCTTCGTTTTTTTTTCCCTATTCAAAAATGATTTTAACACTTCTTCCCCCTTTTGTAGGCTTTTTTTCTCGTAAACTCTCAACAATTTTCCAAAGTGAGAAAATTTTTCATTACCGCTAGGCTGATTCAAGGAATTAGATATGTGATAAAAATGGGAAAATAGCAATACATTGCATTACAAAAATATATAAATTACATTACATTTTTAAAGCATGCACCATAAAAATATTCTCTAAGCATAGGGGTTGGGATTAAATGATTGTAAGAGAGCAGCCAGTGAGGTGATGAGGAAAATTGCATCATCATCATCCCTTTCTTATTTAGTTTTCACCCTCATGCAATTTTGATCTTGAATCCCTCTCGAATTTTTGAAACTGAAACAAAAAATCGTTTTGTCTTGAAAAAATTTTTATGAGCTTCTGTATTTTTGTTGTTGCTACACTTTACAATATGTTGAGTCAGGTAGTGCATGAATGATGGATGTCGGTGCACTGGCAAGAAGAAAGTTATGATGTGGAAGTTTTATGACTTTGTCACGTGCTTAAATAATGAGTGAGCGTTGATGGTATTTTTAATTAGGTAATTGAAGGTTCTTGTTGATTTTTGAGTAATTTTTCCTGCTTATAAACTCAACTCTATTTTTCAGAACAATAAAAATTATTTGTAGGGGGGGGGGAGAGAAGGGGGGGAGAAGGGGGTCTCTTACACCAATGTTGATGAAATTCTTGATATTTTTGTAGATACTTTGCATATTAAATAACAAACTCCTCAATTCCATATTAAACCTCCTGAATCAGCTCTTAAAAAATTGCCAAACTCTATTTATTCCGTAAAATTCAAGGCGTGGAAACTATCCCAAATATCATATTTATCCCACATATCCCAAAAAAATTCAAAAAATTACTGAGCATGTGTGCACGATAGTAAAGATATCCCAACGTATCCTTAGTGTATTGGACGTGTAATTTCAGGATATGATGGGATATCTCAATTCTAATGCATACAGGCTCAGGGATTATTTTGAATATTTTTGGGATACCTGGGATAAATGGGATATTTGGGATAAATTCCACGCCTTGGTAAAATTTCACATTATTCATTCTAAAACTCCATCGACACCCCCATCAGAAAAATTTTAAAATTATTTCAGAAGTGATATCCCGAGGCAATCATGCAGAATGAGCATTTAAATTATTTTTCTGCTCTAAAATTTCCCAAAAACAAGCAAAATACAAAAAAAATTCCCCTGCGACATTTCCCTTTCATATTCATTCCGATATTGAAATGAGGAGTCATCGGTGGCAACAAAGGAGAACAATTCGTTAAGGGAGATATTAATTGTCTTTAAAAATCACCCTTAAACAAACAACTTTCACTTTGGGTAATTGCAATATTGCTGAAACACAGTAATAAAAACGTAAAGTATCAGGGATGTGGAAGTAAGATTCATTTCAAACCCTAATGACAAATGTAAAACTATGCAAATAAATTTAGTGAAGGGGAAAGACACCCTCAACAGAAATATTTTTCAATTCCATTCCACGTATCGAAATTTTTTTTAATATTTTCATTTTAAATTTTTATTCCCTTAAAAAATATTTTTTTATCGTCGGAATCTCATTATAATAAATTACACAAGATTTCAATGCATTGATGCGTTAAGAGGACAAGTGCTGCATTATAACAGATTGCTTTTTGTTTCATTTAAGATTAGCTGGGTATTTGTGGAATGAAATGGGAAGGATTAATGTTATTTTATCATTTTGAGAAATGAAAATTTTCTGATAGTTTTGAGTGTGTGATGAAATGGAAGATTTTGTTGCTGGATTTTGGATCTGTTTGAATTGTTCCCTGAAGGATTGTTGTTTGATGAATTTAAGACCGTTTGGAGAGATGTGCAGAAACTGTTGTTTGAGTAAATATTGGAGATTTTTTTTGTCTGAATGGTTGGATAACTGTTAATTGAATTTGGATAAAAGTGGAGTAATTTTGATAAACCAAAACTTTCTACAGATTTAAGTCAGGATCCGTCAATTATGTTCTGGAAAAATTTTAATTTTATCTGACTCGTCTTTCATATTTGCCTGTCTTATGCTTGCTTTTATTAAAATTTGAAGTGTCAAAGATGTTTTCTTGTGATTATTAATTGGACTTCGTTCACAGGAGCGTTTATAGGAGATGTGAAAACTCGACTAGCTGCGCCCATGACTGATCTTGTTTATAAAGCTGAAAAATAATTTTTTTGCTAAACTGTCTAAAATTCTTAATCTAATTGATCTAGGCGCGTAACCAGGTGGGGATTTGGGGGACAAATCCCCCGACGTTAACAGAAATTTCTTCATTTTGCTAGGAGTTTTTTCATTTTTTTTTAATTTTTAATTGCACTTTATTGCATTTATTGACGACATACTGTCCGGAAACAATTCACATTTTACACTTTTGTATTTGTATACATATGAATTAGTATTATGTAGGATCAAACTTCTAATCTTCATATCTAGGTTTCAAATAAACTAAGGCTCTCGTTTCGATCTTTTGTGGGCGTGACGTGATACTTTTCAGGTCCGTTCTAACAATATTCCATTCGTGGGTAATCTTGTAGCTCTCGTTCCTATTTCTCCCGCTACACTTCAAGTTCCTGACCCGTTCCTTAATCCAACGTTGCCCAAATGCCCAATTAAGGCTTGATCTCGTACATTAAGCAGTCGAAGTATCTAAACTTCCGAAAAAGAACAAATTTGGAAATGGCTGGATTCGAACCGACGACCTTCGAGTTACCATCCCAAATTTGAGCCAAGCGCCTCATGAAAAAAGCATAAAAATCCCCCCTTACTCTGAATTTTCCATATAAATTCCCCCCCCCCCCCCCTCTTCAAATTCCTGGCTACGCCCATGAATTGATCCAATAAACCAAATTTCTTATCAACCTTATTTGAAAGATCTACATTTCTGAATATTCAAAAATTTCGAATTTAATCAGATCCAACACAAAACATTACACTTGTCGCACATTTATTCTTAAAATAGTTTTGGACATACCATTTCGTGATGTAATCCTTTAGATCCAACAGCAAATATTAAAACAACTTGAATTAATCTTGAAATTCTCTTCAATTTTATTTTGGAGTCAAAATCTTTCTTCTTTTCTCCTTCTTTCTTAGCGAACCTTTGCAGGATTATTACACCTAATTTATTTTATTTAAAAAGTTACAAAATGTTTAATTCAATTATTATTTTTCTTACTTTTAGTCCTCTTTTGTGCTACACGTTCTTCTTTTTTTTTTGATTAAATTCTTTTTTAGGGGTAGGAAAAAACTCCCAGTAAATTTCGAAAATTGATATGAATTTAAAAAGAACGTTTAATATTTCAAAATTAAGAAAAATGATGAAACTAATGAATTTGTATATGTTAAATAAAGAAAAATATGTATTTTTCTTTACACTCGCCACCACAAAAAAAAAGTGATGATTCTTCAACTTAAATTCTAATGCATAATTCAAATAATTAAATTTTTCATTTCATGTGCTTCAATTTTTTGGAACAAAAACAATATTATGAGTTAACGGATCTACATTTGCTGGAACACTAATGCTGACATTACGACCGAATTGATTATGCTGTTGTTGTTGATAATTATTTCGTTGAATGAAGAAATTACG